ATCTTTTTTTCTACGAATAAAAAATCACAATGGTCTGGCCTCGCCGGACTTGTTAGTAACGAGGGAGCGAACAGCAAAGCGACGAAATCGTTATACTTTGTTTTACGACAATTTGCTGTCAACTCTAAAATCCTGGGTCAAGATATAGGGTAGACCACTTGGGCTTGGACCTGGTCCAGGACGATCGTCCTCGCCGCTTTTCTTTCCGCACCATAAAGCTAGTGTCGTGCTTTGCCGCTTTTCTCGAAACCATAGTTCTCGCACAAGCAACCGCTAGATCTTCCATTACCGCAAATCCGTGATTTTTCGTCTTTTTCGAAATCATTCTTTTCTGTTCACACGAACGCCTTGGTAGACAAGAGCATGAAAATTTCCAGATGACAGCGCAATTTTTGAATAGAGATTTTCTGATTCTCATACCTTTTTTAATTTGATCTTATTTTTAATATCTTTTTATCTATAAATTAACCATGAAATATTTCATAAGTCAATATTCAATTTTCTAGAAGAATTCTAGATAAATTTCTATATTGTCATTTTAGAAGCATATACGGCCTAATGAAAGCATATAATAATTGTAAAATTTTTTAATATATAAAGGGGAAAAGAAGTGACAATGTCACAGTAACGCCCCGCATAGTGTGCAGCTATAGTCCGTTTTTCATCATTTTGCTCTTTAATCCTGTCTCTTTGGCTTGGCTGGTTCGAAAAAGCAGAGAACATATCATGCCGTGGTGGCACGTAAAAATGGTGAGGTAGATAGACTGGCTCGTTAGTTAAATGTCGCCGGTACGAAGCCGGCAAATGCCGTCATTAATATTGAAACGAGGTCCCTTTGAAAAAGGCTACATGCACGCGCGCGTTCTAGCACCTTCAAAAGAGTGAATACACACATTCTTGAAATTGATACATTGAAATGACGACGACCAATTGACCGATATATATACCAAAAGTATTATTCGGAAATAATGAAAATAATATAAGAAAATGAGATTCTCGCGCTTATTTACTTGTGTCAGAAATCTTTGATTTTTATTTTGTAAATTACAATGAATCGAATGTGCTATCAATATATTTTATTTGGATAAATTATAATTTGTTTGTCTTTTCGGAGAGCATAATTATTTAGAACAACCAAAGTGATCTAAGAAATTGTATCGATCGAATAAAGTCAAATTTTTTTAAATAATTAAAAGAAAGAACTAAAAATGTACAAAATAAACGTAATACGCAAAGAAAATTTACAGAAAATTAAAATATTTTAGATATATTATACGTATATGTTAAATCTTTTTTATATAAAATTATATAGAAGAATATTTTTTTTAAGGGAGAACATATACACAATATCATGTAATTGTTTAAAGATGAAAAGATTCAGATCGTTTTCATTTTCGCGAGAATATCAAGATTGCACTAAACGTTGATCCGCACTCCTTTCTGATTATACAAAATTCGATTAATAAATCCGTGAATTTAAATATTGCTAATATCACGGATGATCGTCATCTTGAAAGACAAACATCAGCTCAATTTATTAGTAGGCGACAAGTTCGAGGATTAGTTTTATGTTTGCTTAGTCTATGGATGATTATAGCGTGACTTTATAAGTACATACATACACGAACACACATATAAACATAGGATCTTCCTGGTTTAAGTATAGACTTTCAAGTGAAGTTAAATTTGACTAAATTAATTTGTTATATTCCATACATGTCTTAGAAAGATTAGAAAAGTTTTTAGATCTTGATTTTAATTAAATAGATAATACTATTAATTCTAAATTATTAGATCAGTTTTTTTCATGTGTGTCACGCAAGAATATTATTTTGAATTTTTCTAGATTCAATGTTAAAATTTTTTGCTTATTTATATACATGTAATATATTGTACTGTTTTAATTAAAAATATAAATTTATCTTTATTCTTTGCAAATTTATTATATGTTACAGATAATTAGAATATATTAATTTATAGATTAATATTTATTGTTATTGCTTATTAATTTAATATAAAAAATTACCTCGTCTATGTATGCACAACTTTAAAGCTACAATAATAAATTACTATCGTATATAAAGAAGAAGTTAATTAAAATCATACTTATTAATAAGTAAAGTAATTAAAGATTCTAAGAAATTTTACGTAATCTAATAATAATTTCAAATAGTATCTCATTAAAATAACAAATAATGTATGTGGAGATATTTTATCCATATTTGCATTTTTAATATTACTAATATAATTAACATTTTGCTTCAATATATAAATTTTGCGTGTATTATAATATTTTGTTAATTATATTGTTACGCATTAACTAATAAATTTGTAATTGATCAAAAGAGAAATTTCTTTCGTTGTATTAAATTATGATAAAATATTTACAAAATACTAAACAAAATCACGCATTTTAAACAATATTTGATACTATTAATGATAACACATTTGCTTATTCAATTTTATTCTTTTATCATTACACATATCAAAAGATATATACATATGAAAAGATACATATAAAAGGATAAATAAATATACAGAACATACTTGTTGTGTAACGAAGATAGAAAAGAAAATAGAGAAAGAAGATACTGAGCGAGAACAACATATTATTTCATCATTATTAATAAACATATATTATCGTGTAGCATAAGTGTCTTTTAGTCGAAACTTCATACTTTATATTAATTAATTATGTTGATTAATTATATTGATTAATTATGTTACCGATTTTCGTTGATTAAGTTATTATTATCGATAATATTATTATCGGACATTCGAATCGATGTTGTAAATAATTCATTTTTAGAAATTTAGTATTCCAATCGAATTTCGTTGCTTGAATTTTATCAAACATTAATATATTAATGTACATAACTGAATAATATTAATTCAAATAATATTAATATTTTTTAAATAGTTATACACATGCTATGGTTGATTATTTAGTATATGTCTCGTTAAAATCATAAAACTGCCAAACATAGAATCACACCTCGATTATAATCGGCTTTATCGATTAGCAACAGAATTGTTGAAACGGATTCTGTAAAAATAGCATTATATGTATATATGTATGTGTGTCTGTGTGTGTGTTTATATATATATATATATATATATATATATATATGTTTTCTTTTATATACTATCTTTAAAAGATTAATCTTCGATAAATTACCGTGTGATTAAAATTACAAAATTTGTCCGTGTAAGGCGACAATTTAATTTGCTAAACTTTTTTAGCGTAATGAGATTTCTTTCTTGTAGAATATAGAATTTTCTTTTTTTCAGGAAAAAAGGATAGATTAAAGTTTAGATTAATTAAGAGAGTACTGAGGCGGATTATTAGCAGCAGATTGTGGCATAAAGTGTCGTCAGCGAAAATGAGGATATACCCCTTGTCAGAATGAGAATATACATCAGCGAATAAACTCGTTAATGAATTTTATTCGGTTACAAATATAACACCAGATATAATTTTTTGATGCAGTTTTCTTTCATATGGCATATTTTAATTTAATTTAATTTTAGTCTTTTCAAAATTTAATATGGTATGTACATGCATCTTGTCTTAATCTCTTTGTATTCAAAATTTAGAATGTTTATGTCAATTAAAACATCGTCGAATTAATTCCAAATGTAGTAGTATGTATATATTTTTATAGATATTTATATAAGATATTTTTTTCTTTTTCTTTTTTTGCTCTTCAATGTTGTAATTTAAAATAATAGAAAAATTTCCTTCTTAAAGAAAACAAAAAAATATTAAAAATAAAAATCTTAAACGTATCTTGTGTTTTTTTTTCATTTTTTTTTTACAATCATGTTATTCCTAAGAAAAGTCTCATTTTTGCCGATATTTCTTAGTGAAAACACATTAACGAGAGATGTGCATTAACGAGAAACGTGCTATCCATCAGTAATGTATGTGCTTGAGATAAGTTTCGGGGTCAAAAAGTAAATCGAGGATGCTTGCTATTTGTTACTTGCCTCATCGGGCCTATTTCCATGTAATTCGAGATCCCGAGATACGCCCATTGAGTACGCATATATACGTAGACGGGTCAATAAAAGTAAGATGATAAATGATGAAATGAAGAATCATGTTAAGAAGAATAATTTGTATAAAAAAATAAATATGGATTCAAAAATATTTTATTAAAAGTTATCGCAAAAATCATGCGCTCAGATAAATAAAAATTTGTACAAATTTCATAAATATGATATAGTGCATCAAGTTTCTAATGCATTTTTTATGAATCCATAGATATTTACATATCTATTATTTTTTTACTGAAAAAATATATCATTGAAATTTAAATTTAAAAAAATACGAAAAAAACATTAAATTATTTAATTTAAAACTTTATATTTTGAATCGTGAGAATTTCTGTTGCTAAATAGTATTCCTTTAATCGTAATTCGTCTTTTAGAGATCGAGTGTAATCGACATTTTCTATCATAGATGAAGATCTGAGAAGTGCAGGGTTTAACGTTAAATGTATTTCACGTTAGGGAGAAATGGAACGCATTGTGGAGAGCGAACAGCTGCAGACGATACTTCTACGAGTTGTTACGAGAATTAGCGTCCATTTCGAGAAAGCGGACACGAGAAAGCGCGAACTCATCGTCATGGGTGTTGTTGTATCGTCTTTTTACGACCTTTCTCACGGGAGCTATATTAATTGCTACGAAACTTACTGTCGCAAACATGGATTGATGAATCACTGCTAAGCGTTAATCGATAACGTTAATAGAGTAATAACACGACAAGTAAGAAAATGCGAGTAAAATGGGACAACGGAAACTGTTTTCTTTATGATCAAAAATTGTGGAAAATTATTTTTCTACTGCGTTTAGTGTCACGAATCACGAAAGCATTTTTATGTCTTAATTACTAGTCGATACGCTAATTTCGCAAGCATGTTATATAAGACTAATTTTCTGTTAAAGCTCTTCGTCTTTTTCACTGCCATTGTGAATTGTGCTCAAGCACTTACCTTATCGAGACGAGTATCATGGCGAATATCAGGTACTTTCCAAGTAACGGCACAACCAAGGACGTTGGCGGAATGATCTCAACGACCAACAGGAAGAATACGTGGAGACTGATGAGAATCGAAATCGAGAGCGTTACCTGGAATTGTGAAATGTTTGTTAAAATATTTTCTGTATAAAAAATATAAGAAAATTATTAGAAATATGTTTGAAATAATCAGATTTATTTATTATATTAATGAAAAAGGTTGCAAATCTTCAATTATTTGCATCTTTCACACATTCTCCTTCACTAATACATAAACCTTCAAAATTCTTTTCAAATTTTTATAAATTTGTATAGAATTTTTTAGTGTGCATTATAGATCACAAATAAGTATTTTTGTAACATAATCAATATACTCTACAATTAAGAAATATATATATATATATATATATATATATATATATATATATAATAAAATATATGACGCAATATTAATGGATTTATTTTTGCATTCATGTATCACGTACAGAAAAAATTTATTTTGTTATGTCGACCATGTTATCTTAAGAGAAGAAAATAAGGAGGCAAAGAAGCAGGTAGTCCAAAGACACATGCTACTTTTCCTTCAGGATGTGTCCCTTGACAGGCGACAAATTCTATTTGAAAAAGGCAGGTAAAAGGTCGCGAATAGTCAAGCAGAAAATTCGTATTTATGATTCGCGTAAAGAATGTACGAAGCAGCGAGAGTCGGAAGGATAAACGGGGTTGGGCCTCGTGAGATGAAAGTTGCTCGTTTTGACAGAATTTATATGTATCCGTGATCCATTTGTTCTAATAAAACTTGTAAACAAAGAGCATCAAGCGCATGTAACATATTTAGGAGTCTTATTGTATATTGAATAAAATAAATGCAAGATAACAAGAGAAAAGCGAAATAATATAAAATAATTTAGATATTTACGTATATTTTTTCCATATTTTTTAAAAGAATATGTGTGACAATTGGAAATAAAATGCAAAAATAATAAATATTCGAACAGGAAAAAAAAATGAAGAAGGAGAGAAAGATAATTTTTTCCTCGCGTTCTTTTTTCTATTAAAATTTGTCTTTGTTATTGCATAAAAAGAATATAGTATATATGTATCAGCAACAAACGCAACAATAATATAATTTATTAAGTACTTTAAATAACTGTGGTAAATAAAGAGAGTTTATTATCTCTCTTTCTAATTCGTTTGTAATATGATAAAAAATAAACACCATTTCAACGTCGAACAATTAATGGACACCAAGAGTTTTCGTGTAAAGTGACTATTCGATATATGTACTTTGATGCGTTTTTCTCAGAACATAGCATCTATTGAAGACTACAATGGATACTGAAAGATACACGCGAAGTGTCTACTTCAACTACTAAGCTCATGTTGTTCTGTAAAAAGAAATCTGTCTGAAACACGAAAATAATGTATTCGATAGAAAGACAGGCTTAACAAATAATAAAAAAAGAAAGAACACTTGCAATAACATCCAGCAAAAGTAAGATGTCTCATAATAAAAAATTTGATGATCCGAACAAAAACAACTCGGTAAACTTCTTGTTAAAAGTCTGATATCTCTTTCATCATAGACAAACTTAAAATTCCATTTGTTTTTAAGTTGAAACATTGCTGGTATCAATCTATGACAAATATTAATAAAATGATATTTAAGTTCTCTTAAATAGTCTTTTTATATTTTTCTTTAATTTTATAATTTTCATTTATATTATTGATGAATTATTTATTATATATATTTTTCAACATTATGCCGATATTAAATTCAAAGAAGAATGAGGCGAAACTTTATGAATTTTTTATTTGCAAAGTTTGATTATTTGCAAGGCGATCGTATTATGAATATGCAAATATCAAACAGAATTAAATCTATTGTAGCTGTATAATATATATTAAAAATTTTCGTCAGGGATTTATTGTGCGTGTTGTGGAAGTGGAAGTTAACCAGGTTAACGATTACTTAAACTCTTCTTCCGTGAAACGATCCTCCTGTGTCTGAAAGTTTTATTATATTCTTTTATGTTGGGCATATTACGGTTGAAGTACAAGTTAGAAAGTCAAACATATACTTTCCTAACTATAATAATTTTTTCGACGTTGAATCAAATTTTAAACAAAGTATAGTAATAATAGAAAGAAAAATTTTCTAATAACAAAATTTTTGTCTTTAAAAATAATAAATGTCCAACATAGTAATATTATTATAAATTTACATTATACATATTATATAGATAAATAATATTAAATATTATATAATACTGAATAATATAAAATATAATATTAAATATTATATAGATTTGATATTATTAAATTTGCATGCTGTATTAATGCTGTATTGTTAAAATGTTTTAAAAAATTCTATTCCATCTTGATATATTTTTCTCTTTATTACTCTATTATTTTTATTCTTTATTTATTATTTTAATTTTGTCAAAATAAATTTTGAACTTTTATACAAGAACTTAACACAAAATCATTTTACATTTTATTTTAAACAATATTTAAATCTAAGTTTGTAAAAAAAGTGTAAAAAGAAATTATTCCGCTATTCTTTTTCGAATTGAAAAATAAAAAGCAAGACTTTTTAATGTGAATGTTGCCTCGATATCGTGATCACGTAACTTTTTTCCGGAACACAATGAAATTTGATTAAACAAAATTCACGTGGGATTTGAAATAATGAAAAGCGACAAATGAAAAAATGATTCAACTATTATGTTATCGATTTTTTCTTTTTCACGCAATACTCGGTATTTTATAATAAACTTCAAAAATAAATCTGTCTATTAATAACTCAGATCAAAATACAAAAGATATATCTGTACTAGATTTAGTGACGAATCTAATTAAAAGTTTATATCTTCATGTAACTTTGACATTTGCAAAGACAAAAATTGTAGAATAAAATCGATTTGATATCACATAAGTTCTTTGATTCGTTTCTGCAAACTTTTACAAAATCGAAAATCGTTTATCTGTCAATAATATCTGTTACAGAATTGTGGTGTGTAAACTTCAGCGAAATAATTTCCAATAAACAGTCTCTCAACCGGAAAGTATTTACGGACATATAAACATGTAATTATTGGTCTCAATTTTCTTTTTTAATCGAATGCAACAGTCGTTTAGCTTCAATGATGCTTTGCGGCGTTCCAGGATTAATTTACAGCATGGCTAATCGTTATATAAAACCGTTCATCAATGTTACGTCACGTCAGTCAGCCATATAGTGTTTATGTCTCTCGTTCGAAAATTTCACTGGTTGAGGTATAATATTTTATTTAAGTGATTTTCAATTTCACTATTGCTATTTTTGCTTTGAAATGTATATTAATGTGTTTTATATAAGTTTCAATTCGTAACAAAATTTGAAACATACAGTATTTATTTTATAGTATCTTTGTGTGTAATTAATTATTACCTTTATTATATAGAAAATTTATTTTAGTGTACATTTGCCATTTAACAATTTTTATGTGACAAAAAAATTTGTTTAGTTCTTTTGATAATAAATATTTAGAGATGTTTTTTAGTTGATAAAATTGCATGATAAATAAATTGTATAGTATAATCAAATGTTTCAATAGTATTTGTAATCGTTAATTCCTTTACATGATAATCTCTTTTACGGTTTGAATATAAAATGGATCGTTTATTTCTTGTACATTTTTCGCCGAACATTTTACACGGGAGTTTGCCCCGTTCGCTGATAATAAAAAGCAGTTTACATTTTTTTCTAACGACCACAAATGTATAACGCACGATTATCGACGATCGCCCTTATCGAGAATCGAGTCGGTGACCCTTATTGCGAATTGAACGCAACGCAAGCGAACGTTTCATTTTTACTGCGGTCTCGCCATTTGCAATAGCGTCTCGTAGCGATTAATTTAAAGGATCGACCACTGGAGCGCGATAGCGTTTATCGGGCTGCTGCCGTGTCGTCAGCTCCGGCGGCTTTCATCGATGCATTCGGATCGATAGTGCACCCGCGATTACTCTTTCCATCCGACCGCGCCTTTAATTATTGTCGCAACCACTCTTCATCTGACAATTGCACGCGTATCTTGCTGTTATTTCTATCAAACGTTTCAGCAAACGTTTCTGAATCGAGTTTCGTTATGACACAATTATTGTGTGCACGGGAATATATGTGAAAATAACGTTTTCCTAAAATAATTCTTGGTTTCGTAAAATATCCTAATAATCACTTTTATATATCGTTTTTAAGATTTCTATCGCTATTATTGTATTCATCACGATTTAATTATTCATTCACGAAGTCTAGCAAGCACTAAATATATTCTAAATTATATAGATAAATTATAATTATAATATAAATTATATAGAAATGAAATTTGGAGGGAATTTCTGGATAGAATATTTCGTATAATTCTAGTGCGATTCGATAAAGGGATAATTTAGGTATTCTATGATCTATTGAGTTGCTTATAGCGGCGTGCACGATCAATAATGTGAACCAATATTCAAAAGCTGGTGTCTTGTCATGGTACGGTCTGCTCGTTGCAGCAAATCCGCCGTTAAGCAAGAGCCGCAAGTACATTGACGTACTTGCATTAACGTGATACATTGTCGTGCTTGATCGTATAGTATCTACAGTGTGTATGCATGATACCAGAAGTGTCGGTTTTTTTTGCATACTATCGACGATACGTCCAGCAAAATATGATATTACTCATTTTGGAAACATAAAATAAAATTGTAAACAAATTCCCATAAAGCGGATGATAAAATGCTGCATGAAAATATTTTAATTACATCGAACTCTGACGGTAATTATTGTAATTGTTTTACAAATTATGGAAAATTAAGAGATTATAACTACTGTTATTATTATTATTCATTGTACATTCGTTGTACATATTTTCAGTAATGAATATATAATTACATTCGACGAATTTCGAATTCATCCATGTTTTTCGTTTGATTTAAAGTAATTGTTTTAATTATCGTGAGTGTTATTAGAAGACTATGAGTTTCCACCATGTTAGGAAATATTTACAACATTAAAAAGGATAAAATTAAGAGTCAATTATATATCACGAGAAAGTCCGAGCTTTATCCGTGCAAAGAAATTT